GCAGCTGCAGTTAGGGCAGCTGGCTGGACAGTGTGCTACTCAGAGACAGAGTCAGAGAGGCTTGTTGGAGTCAGTAGGTCACATCCCGCAGGTTGCTGTCTGGGCTTTGCCTTCTTGTATCAGCCCTGCGGAAGGAATCCCTCTGGGGGTCCCCACAGCACCTGTGCTGGCTCAGCTGGGGACTGAATAACAAGGTGAAGTGCGCATTGCTTGGATGTTGTTGTTGTGGCTGGAGTGCAGGAAGAGACGCGCCCCTCACTTCCAATACCAGCAGCAGGTGTGACTAGAAGCTTTGGACGTTGATGTGCTTTTCCCCTTTGCCCACATCAAGGCGGTGCATGTAAAATGGCCGCCGGAGGAAGCAGTAGTTAGTAGATAAGGAGTTCTGTTTTTCCACTGGGAATTGTACAACATGAAGGGAGCAGGTAAAACACTGGTTGTCACATGCGGTCGTTTTGGTTAAGCCGCAGACACCTTAGTGACAGAGATGAAGTAGGTTTGTGCTACTTGGTTTGTCTGAACCCAGTGTATTCTTAAACTTGGTGTCTTTTATTATTTGAGATGCTAACCACTTAGTGCTTCATTTTTTTTTTTTAATAAAGATTTATTTATTTATTTAAGAGGCAGAGGGAGGGTGGGAGGAAGAGAGAGAGAGGTCTTCCATCTGCTGGTCTACTCTCCAAATGGCTGCAATGGCTGGAGTTGGGCTGGTCCAAAGCCAGGAGCCAGGAGCTTCTTCCAGGTCTCCCATGCTGGCGCAGGGGCCCGAGCACTTGGGCCGTTTTCCGCTGCTTTCCCAGGCTATAGCAAAGAGCTGGATTGGAAGAGGAGCAGCCAGGACTCTAACTGGCTCCTGTATGGGATGCCAGTGCTGCAGGCAACGACTTTGGGATACTTCAGTTTTGAGTGGTAGCAAGGCCAGCACCTGGCTAACTTGTTGGCATTGAAAGTGAGTATATGTGGGGCTGGTGCTGTGGCATAGCAGGTAAAGCCGCCACCTGCAGAGCCGGCATCCCATATGGGTGCTGGTTCAAGCCCCGCCTGCTCCAATTCCTATCCAGCTCTCTGCTTATGGCCTGGGAGAGCAGTAGAGGATGGCCCAAGGTCTTGGGCCCCTGCCACCCACATGGGAGACCCAGAAGAAGCTCCTGGCTCCTGGCTTTGGATCAGCGCAGCTCCAGCTGTTGCGGCCAACTAGGGAGTGAACCAGTGGATGGAAGACCTCTCTTTTTCCTGCGTCTCCTCTCTCTATGTGACTCTTTCAAATAAATAAATACAATTAAAAAAAAATTGTGAATATGTGGGTGACAGCCATTGGGTTAAAGAACATTGTGGTCCTGATGGCCTCCTCAACCTGAAAGGACACCCTGCACCGTGTCTGCTGTGGGCAGCTTTTAGGGCAGTTTGACAACAGCTGTGAACTGACCAACTGGAAATAAGTGGACTGTTTGTAGATACATAGTTGTTTACAAAAGTATATGGAAAATTTAGATTCGTATGACAGTTGAGGGTAGAGTGGTCATTATTTGCTGTTCAAAAGAAAGCTTATGCACATTCTATGTGTGTGTTCATGCCCGAAAATAAAAAGGTAATCTCCTTCCCCCTCTAACTACCAATTAAAAAAAAAAATTTTTTTTTTTTTTGACAGAGTGGACAGAGAGAGAGAAAGGTCTTCCTTTGCCGTTGGTTCACCCTCCAATGGCCGCCGCGGCCGGCGCACCACGCTGATCCTATGGCAGGAGCCAGGTGCTTCTCCTGGTCTCCCATGTGGTGCAGGGCCCAAGCACTTGGGCCATCCTCCACTGCACTCCCGGGCCATAGCAGAGAGCTGGCCTGGAAGAGGGGCAACCGGGACAGAATCTGGCGCCCTGATCAGGACTAGAACCCGGTGTGCCGGCGCCGCTAGGCGGAGGATTAGCCTGTTGAGCCGCGGCGCCGGCAAAAAAAAATTTTTTTTAATATTTTGAGAGAGCTCCCATGTGCTGGCTTACTTCCCAAATACCTACAGGAGCTGGGGCTGGGCTGGGGTGGAAGTTTGGAGCAAGGAACACAATCCAATCCAGGCCTCCTACGAAGGAGCCAGGGTCTGCGTAGTAGGAAGCTCAAGCCAGGAGCCAGAGCGCAGGATTTGACCCAGGTGCTTTGATGTGGGAGGTGGGGAGCTCAGCTGCTAAGCCAAAGGCCTACCCCTGACCCCCAGGTGTGAGGAGAAACCACATTGGTGGTTTCTCTTTGTGAGGCTGTCTGTGGAAGAAGTTAACTCTGTGGTACAACTTTCCAAAGCAGTTTTTCAGAATGGAAAGACCCCCTGTGGAGTCAGGCTTTGTGACCCCGCCCCTGCCCTGGTAATCCCTGCTAATTCATCTGGAAAGCAGCAGAGGATAGCTCAGAGTACTTGGGTTCCTGCCACCCGGATGAAAACCAGAAAGGAGCTCCTGGCTCCTGGCTTTGGCCTGGCCCAGCCCTGGCTGTTGCAGGCATTTGGGGAGTGAACCAGCAGATAGAAGATCACTTTGTCTCCTTCTCTTTCTGCCACTTTTCCTTTCAAACAAATAGATGAATCTTTAAAAAAAAAAAGAACGCCTATAACCTGACAACTGGGGGTTTCGGGTTTGCAGTGAGTCCAGGCCCCTGAAACAGTCACAGGAGCAAGTAGGGTAGCGGGGATGTGGAGGTGAACGGGAACATGTGGCCAGCTTTTCTGCCGACTCCCAGTCAGGCCGTTAGCATCATTTAGCACTGGGTTCTGTTTGTTCTGGCTACAAATGGAGAATCACCTGGGCCGTCTCCTTTGCTTTCAGAGTCTAGAGGAGATTGCACGGTGGCATTTTGGGCGAGAGGGGCAGGAGGTGTGTTCTGGCATCGGTGTTCTATATCCAACATGTCAGCTGTCACTCGTTCTGTCTAAACTAAACAATCACTGTGGGTGAGATTTATATCCATTTTATTTTTATTTTGCTTCTGGAAAAATTTCAAAAGTGGTTCCTCCCCCAGCCTTTTGTTTTTCCCTTTCTGCTTCATTTGTCAGTTCCATTCTTAAACATTCTGCATAGACGCCTGGTTTCCTGAGCCAGCTCCTCTCCTACTGAATGGGCAGTATGTTTTTAGGCTGTGATGTGGCTGATGAGGACATCTTACTCTGACTAGTCTACACAAGCTTTATAAAAGCAGCTTTGTTAGGGCCACTGTCGGCGCGGGGTTTTTTTGATTTTCAGGGATACGTGTTTTTAGGAGGGATTGAGACTCCTGACTGCCTGGCCACTCGTTGCTTCCCAGGAGCTCTGCTACCCTCCGGATTTTCCTGCTTTCCTTGGAGACTCCAGATTTCTAAGGCAGCCTTTGGAAAGCAAGACTCAAGGAACCTCCTTGTTACCAGGGTTTTCTTGTTGCTTAAGTAAGCGTTGCTTGTTTTGCTTAAAATATCAGCAGTTCTCTTTCCATAGGAGCTGTGTGTGTTCAGGCCATGAGGCTTTCTTGTTACAGTTGGAGTTGCTGCTGCTTGGAGTGCTGTCAACGCTGTGCGTTTATTTCTCTGCCGAATCGTAGCCTGATGAGGCCAGAGAGGCAGCCAGCCTTGAAAGGTTACTCAGATACTGGTGCCGTGTGCCCCGTCCACGTCCTGTCAGATACTGTGGTGCTGTGTGCCTCTGTCCACGTCCGGGAGGCCACAGCGAGGCAGGAGCAGTTTTGTCTTTCTTTCCCCGTAGGGAGGGAGGTCACCCTTCTGAGCTCCCCCACCCCACCATCCCAGACAGTCTGTGAGCCAGCCCAGCTCCCCAGAACCTCACGGAAGACTTCCTCTTCTTTACACTCAAACCCAAGCCCTAATGAAGTGCTGCTTTTTGTCAGTAAAGAATCAGATGCTTTGTCTGTCTCCCCCCCACCCCCACCTTAGAACTGTGTTGGTTTATGGCTTGAAGGATCACTGTAGAAGCAGATTGCAGCCTTTAATCATTCCAGGCATCTTGGGACTTGCTGGAGGGATCACCCCTCTTTGTATTTGTTTGGGGATAGGTTGTGGGTCACATGTGCCTGGCCGTGTATTTGCATACTGTGTGGCACCGTCGTCATCTGCAGCTGTGGATCTCTATGGTCTGGAAATTCCCCAGGTCATTTGCTTGAGGTGCTGTCAGCCTCTCTAGTTCTAACTGCCGTGTCCCATGCATTTCTTCGTCTCACGCTCAAAAAGATTTATATTTCCGGGGTCTTTGGCAGCTAGTAGTGTGGGTGGGAATGAGAAGTGTGCTCCAGGGCCAGGGGAGTGACAGGTACGCACCCTGGCAGGAGGAATTCCCAAGTGTTAGTAGACTTCCAGAATTTGCTAGGGCTTCTTTTGGGCAGTTCGTGATTATTCCAGCAGAGGGCAGTAAAGGAATTCAGCCCATTCCCTTTCCTGGAGAGCACTACAGGGTTGCCATCGGCTCCGATGAAGGTGGACAGTATCTGTGGTTAGGTGCTCGAGGCCTAGGTGCCTACGTGCTGCCCCGTGAGCTCACGGAATGCCGCTGGGCAGGTCGGGGCTCAGAAGCCTCACGTTCTGTCCGGTAGAGGCACTGCTGACGCAGTAGTTGACAGAAACCCTTTACTCTCTCAGACAGCAATAAACGCATTTTATCTCTGACCAACTTTTCCAACCAACAGCCCCCGTCACGTTGCGTGCTGTCGTCCTGCTTTGTCTGCCAGCACTACACTGTCCCAGCTTCCTGCTGAGGCCTTTGTTCCCTCACCCATCCTCAGGGTGTCTCTAACCTAGCGTAGCGACACAGGTGACACGTGGCAGACGCTCAGTAAGTACAGGAGGGGGCAGGGGTGTCGGCTGGGAAGCAGCAGTCACTGCTCAGGTATGTCGTGGGGTTTGCTGTTTGTTTCACCTTTGAACTCTGAGAAGCCCGAATCTGCCGCACTGCTCTCTCGTGGCCTCTCTCGTCGGCTTGGAGCTGCCGGTCAGGCAGGACGGTGGTGAATGCGTCTCTGAGTCTCTTTCCTCTCCCCCACCTCAGCTTGCCAGCAAAGCGCGGACGGAGAAGGAAGAGAAGCTGAGCCAGGCCTATGCAATCAGTGCTGGCGTCTCCCTAGAGGGCCAGCAGCTCTTCCAGACCATCCACAAGACGTGAGTTGGGGAGCGCGGGTCCCTCGTCCCCGGGGGAGGCTGCCTGGCTGAGCTGTGTGCCGGCAGCCTTCGGGCGGTTGTCTGCCTGGAAGTCTGTTGGCGAGACCGGGGGCTGCATTGGCAGTAGCCAGGCAGCCAGAGATGGGGGTGATGGTTCCTCCTGTTCTGCACAGGATAGTGTGGTTGTGGTCACGTATCTTCTCTGGGCTTCAGTTCTCGCCGGCAAATCCTACTTTTGGATTAAATTACCCTTAAGAGTACCCTCAGGTCTTGTGGTCCCTGGTTATCGCTAGTGATCTCTTTCTCTTGTTGTTTTGTTTCTGCGCCTTCTCTAAAAGTTGATAGTGGTTTTATAAAGGGAAAGTCTATCTACAGCACTTTCCCAGTTGTGCACTGGAATGCACACAGGGAGTTAGAGAACAGAAGGCCACCTTCTTACCACCTCCTAAAAGACATTTTGTCACAGCAGAGGTCATTGGACTCCCCTGGCTTCCCTGGCTGCTGCAAAGCTGGGACATTTGACATCCCCGCTAGCTCCCGCTGCCGTCTGTTACCCTGGCTCACCAGCCTGGCCCAGTGCACAGATGGCAGCTGGCATCAGAGCCGTTAGAGGCCGTGGTGTGTCTGAGCGTTTTCAGGTGTGTGAAGGAACTCTGTTCGCATCAGCTGCCCTGGGCTTCCCCACGTGTGAACTAGACAGGGTTTTCCCAGCCTGGCAGGTGCCCAGCTGTCTGCTGATTGAGGGGAACCAGTCTGAGGAGCAGCTGCCATTGTGAGTGGTGGGGAGCAGAGGGCGGATCGCCGTAAGATGGGGCATTTGTCCTGCCTTTCTGCTTCTCCCGGGGCCAAGGGCTGGAAAACGTGCCAGTGGGCCAGCTCTGCGCATGTGTTTATGGGTGCTCTGTAGCAGCTTTGGCACATGAGGACAGAGACGGCTGTGATGGAGACGTGGCCTGCCAAGCCTAAAACATTTGCTGTATGCCCCTTGATAGAAACGATGGGCGCTCTGTCTCAGCTGCCAGCGCAGTTGGACCCGTAGCCTGAGCTTACTTGTTGATGTGTAACTGGATTTGGCTTGGACTTCTGCAACTGCCACATTTTTCATGGTTCCAGGTCTCTGATGCTTTGGAGTAACACTCGTGGGCTGTCCTCAGAATAGACGTGCATCCGTTCCGTTGCTTTCGTAGCCAGTGGTGCCCAGGGAATGTTTCTGGCTGTTCTTCCTCTGCGGGCTGCTGGCTTCTAGTTGTGGCTGCTAGGTGACCTGAGAGCCTGGGCCCGCCTTCGGGAGTTACATCAGGCGGGAGCTGTGGGATGCCCCAAGAGGTAACGTTTCACCTGCTCTCTTCCAGCATTAAAGACTGTAAATGGCAAGAAAAAAACATTGTAGTCATGGAAGAAGTTGTTATTACACCCCCATATCAAGTGGAAAACTGTAAAGGCAAAGAGGGGAGTGCACTGAGCCATGTACGCAAAATAGTAAGTAAGGGTGCTGTGGGGGGAGGGGCTCGCCAGTTGTAAGGGCACTGTGGGGGGAGGGGCTCATCAGCTGTAAGGGCACTGTGGGGGGGAGGGGCTCGCCAGCTGTAAGGGCGCTGTGGGGGGGAGGGGCTCGTCAGCTGTAAGGGTGCTGTGGGGTGGGGGGCTCGTCGCCTTCACCTTCGCGCGTCAGAACAGCATTTTCCGCTGCAGTGCCTGCCTCGTGTCCCTGCACTGTGGGCTCTGCAGCTGTGACCGGGGCCTGACGAGGCTGGGACCACTGACAGTGCGGGGTGAAGTGCTCCGCCTCGGGGTCTTCGCCGCAGGGCTCTTGGAAGTGGTCCAGTGATTCCATGATTTGGGGCCTCAATACTTCGTCCCTTCCAGGCTGGGCCCTTGGCTGCAGGCACCTTGCTAGAGGAGCTGGCTGGAATGAATAGGTTGCTGTTGCAGCTGTGGGAAGGGGGCAGTAGTCTGGGTCATAGTTATCTCCATTTTATTTTATATTTTAGTTTGCATGTTCAATTTCTGGTTAATTTGGCTGAAGCTGTAAAAAATGCGGCTGAGAAGAGAGGCCTCTGCCTGCCTTGTAGACAGCAAGGGGAAGGCGCCCAAGCAGGCCAGGTTCTGCGCAAGCTTGGCCTAGATTGTTGGGGAGATTTGCTTGCCGGCCTCCCTTCCTGACTCTGGCCACCTTGATCTCTTTCAGGTTGAAAAGCATTTTAGAGACGTGGAAAGCCAAAAGATCCTGCAGCGCTCACAAGCCCAGCAACCACAGAAGGAGGCTGCCCTGTCCTCCTGAGTCCACACGCGCCCAGGACTCTCCCAGCATCCAGCCCCGAGGGGCGGTGGCTTCGGCGGAGGCAGGCCGGGGGAGGGAAGGGATCCTGTATTTCCTGTTGGCTCTTGTTAACAGAGGGTCAGCGTTTCCAAATCTTAGACTTGAACAAACAAAACACCCAACAAAAAAGAACAAGAGAGTAATTTAAAAGTTGAATCATTACTTGACTAACAGACTTCGGTCCACCATGTCCTTTCACAGCCCTCCTGGAACAGTCACCTTGTTAATTTTATTTTCCCTCCTGCCTTTCCCTTCCTAGTCTGTTCCTGCCGTTCTGTTTTTATAAGTGGCTACGTTTGCCTTCTGAGTGATTGAAAGAAACTTTTACATCTTTTCTTCCAAAATAAAAATAACAAGCTGACTGTGACTCTTACGTTGAGACCAGAGCAGCAGGCAGAGGTCTCACTTTAAAGTTTTCTTTTTCTTTCCCTTTTCCTTTTTTTTTTTTTTTTTTTTTTTTTTTTTGCACAGGGCATGGCTTGAATTAGTTTTATTTTTCTTAACTTTAAATATATATATGAAAATATATATTAAAATGTTCTCTAAATATTTTCTGCTTCTTGCAGGTCTCTTTTTACTAGATCATGGCCACTCTTCCCACCTCATCCCTCTGAAAATAAAATGTAATACCCTCCCCAACACCCACAGCTAGGCAGCGTGACCTTGACCTCAACCTGGTTCACAGCCTGAATCTCCTGCAGCACTTTGTAGAGCCAGTGTGTGCAGCCGGGATTTGGCTTTGAGGGTTCCTGACGGCTTCTTAGTTTGACCTGTGTGTAGCAGTCTCACATCTGGCCCAGACCTCAGGATTCTCTCTGCCTCTTGTCTTACTTCATGGTACTAGAAGAGCCTCCTTGCCACGCCCTCCGCTGGGAGCGCGCGCTGCCCTTTCTCCTGTGCCTCTGCGGGAAGAACTCTTTGCATGGCACATCTTAGCTCCTCCTCCTCGAGGGATGGTTTTCTTTTACAAGAAACTTGGTGTCCATCACCGCGACCTCTCTTTGAGTCTGGATCCAGAGCCGCTAGCCCAGGAAGAGGCTCCGGTGACCTAGACTTCTCTCCTCTGCCACTCTCCTGCTCTTAAACCCCCTTCCCCCCCAGTCTTACAAGCTGATGGCAGTTTGTATGTGCTCAGCCAATGGGCAGAAAACCTGGAAAGAATTTTTGGACTTTAGCTCACCAGTTTGTCTGGTTTGACTAACCTGCTGAGAGCCAAAACTGGCACCGTTGGCCCTGTGCCTTCAAGGGCAGTGTCAGGGGCCGGGCGTGCCACCCTCTGAGCGTCAGGCGCCAAGTGGGGTGGGGTGATGCTCACGGGATTGGCTAGAGCTTTGGGGATGGGGTGGGGGTAACTACTATTTTTTTGGCCGTGATCTCTTTCCCCTTCCTTTTTTTTTTAAAATTAAATAAATGGATCAAAATTAAATAATTCAAGCCCTGCCTTCAAAGTAAAAAAAAATTTTTTTTTAGTATTGTTTAGCAAAAACAATAAAACCCAAATTTTTTTAACCATCACTCATGTCTCGGGTTTGTGCGTGCTCAGAGGCCCCAGAGGCAGGGGCTAAGGTGGGGTTGTCTGTCGCGTTTGACCTCTTCCTGACCTTCTCTGCTTCTTGCTCTCTACCCTCATTTTCCATCCCCAAGAACTCAGAAATGCAGTGCCAAGTATGTAATCTGCCAAGGAGCCCCGGGTCAGAGCCGCGTGTGGGTGGGATGTGGGGAGAGAAGGGCACGGATGCGGGCACAAGACCATTCATTGCCCAGCTGTTCGGAGGCGGAAAGCTGAGGAGTAAGCTTTCGAATTCACCTGCTGGCGTGGACATACAGCCTCGTGGAGACCACCTCGCAGGGTCTGGGGAGCCTGAGGTGGAATTACAGAGGTGAAGCTGACTTACTTAGTGGGCAGCAGTGAGTCTGGGGGAAGCCGTGTCTCGTGGAACCCACATCCTTCCCTTCCGGCAGTCCCTGGGTCTGTGAGTGGGGAGAGTGGAGCTCAACTGGTTTGGGCAAGAAGCACTTTCGACTCCTTGGTTTTCGTTTCAGAAGTGATGTGGGGGAACTTGAGAGGTAGATTCAGAATGGTTTGTAAGGCGGACTGCGAGGTGCCGAACAAAGGTTTTGCAGACAGACAGTTGGGTTCAAATCCTCGTAGCCCCATTGCTCACCGTGTGACTGGATGAGTCATTCCACCTGCAGGAGCCTTAGATCTCCCAGCTGTGAATGTGGGAGTAATACCCGTCTGCCAGGGATCTGAAGGGTTAAGAAACGAGGTGCCGCAGGGCAGGGCAGTGCCAGCGTCTGGAGACTGGGACACCTACAGCCCGAATCAGGTCTGGACTCTCACTCCAGCTTCACCCTGAGAGGCAGTGGTGACGGCTCAGATACTTGAATCCCTGCCACTCATGTGGAAGACCCGGGATGGAGTTACGGGTTCCTTGGCTTTGGCTGGACCTGGTCCAGCCCAGGCTATTGCAAGCATTTGAGGAGTGAGCCAGTGGATGGAAGATAGCTCACCCTCTGCATTTCAAATAAAATGAAAATAAGTACTAAATTTTTAAGATGCCTGGGGTAGGCACTTGGCACGGTGGTTAAGTCTGCTGGGTGCCCGCATCCCACACTGGAGTGACAGCTCAAGCCCCGGTTCTGCTTCCAGTTCCATCTGCCTGCACTGCACCCCCTGGGAGGCAGCAGGCAGTGGCCCAGGAACTTGGGTGCCTGTCCCCCATGTGGGTTAAGTTCTGAGCTTTTTATTATTATTACTTAAGATGTATTTATTTAGTTGAGAGGCAGAGCCTCTTCCATCTGCTGGCTCACACCCTGGATGGCCGCAGTGGCTGGAGCTGACCTGATCAAGAGCCAGGGTCCTCTTCCAGGTCTCCCACGTGGATGCAGGGCTGCAAGCACTTGGCCCATCTTCCACTGCTTTCCCAGGACACTAGTAGGGAGCTGGATTGGAAGTGGAGAGGTGGGGACCCCAGCCGATGCCCACATGGGATGCCGGTGCCGTGGGCAGAGATCTAACCTTCCATGCTCAGTGCCGGCCCCCAAGTTCTGAGCTCTTGGCCTGGCTGTTTGAGGCATTTGGGGGTGAACCAGCACATCAGCAGAGGGGGGATCTTTGTCTGCTTTTCAAAAAAATGAAAGTTAAAAAACAAAACCTAACACTTGAAGGATGCTTCCCAAATGTTAACTTAAATGTTAGCATGGGCCTGGCATGGTTAAATCTGGAGATGAGATTACATGATTTTCAGGATTTTTTTTTTTTTTTAAGGGAAAGGGTCTATTGGGGAAAATGCAGCAGACCAGAGGGAAGAGGTGAAGAGGGAGAAGGAGAGTAAGAAAGAGGAGAGAGGGGAGTCAGAGGAGAGTGATTTTCAGGATTAAAACAGAAGACAAAACCGTACACAGCTCATTATAGGAAAATGAGTAAGGAGAACTTTTTTTTTTTTTTTTTTTGACAGGCAGAGTGGACAGTGAGAGAGAGAGACAGAGAGAAAGGTCTTCCTTTGCCGTTGGTTCACCCTCCAATGGCCGCCGCTGCAGGCACGCTGCGGCCGGCGCACCGCGCTCATCCGATGGCAGGAGCCAGGTGCTTCTCCTGGTCTCCCATGGGGTGCAGGGCCCAAGCACTTGGGCCATCCTCCACTGCATTCCCGGGCCACAGCAGAGAGCTGGCCTGGAAGAGGGGCAACCGGGACAGAATCCGGTGCCCTGATCGGGACTAGAACCCGGTGTGCCGGCGCCGCTAGGCGGAGGATTAGCCTAGTGAGCCGCGGCGCCGGCCAAGGAGAACATTTTCCACCCTGGCATCCTGAATACCTCTGGCGCCCTCTCCCTTTCCCTGTGCGGATCAGATCCTCTACATTCCGAGACTTCTCCCTACCCTGTGGGTTTCTAGAAACTCCGTGTGCTTCCCAATGTCGGAAGAAACCTGCCAAGTTACTTCCCTCATCCCTGGCCCACGAGGTGCTTTTTTGTGCACATGTGAGGTTGATTTATTGGAAAGGCAGATTGAGCAGGAGTCAGGAACTCCCTCGTGGTCTCCCACACGGGCGCAGGGTCCCAAGTATTTGGGCCATCTTCGTTGCCTTCCCAGGCACCAGTAGCAGGGAGCTGGAGCTGTCACTTCCACAAATGGGTGCCATTGTCAACTACACTCCAGTTCTTGTCCAGATGTCTTTTTCAAAAGTGTCCTGCTGTCACCGCTGTGTACTGGCTGCGTGTAGTCAGGAGTCAGGGTGTGGACAGTGGACGAGTCCGGGAGACCCTGTGGGTCGGGGTGATAGGGCAGCCTGCAGATTTCCTGGCCTTTAAAATGCCAGCAGTCTTAGCCTCAGCTGACCGCCCCTCCTGGAGTACTGGCACTGCTGGGAGTGCACACCTCCAGGAGGCCTGTGAGAGCTGGACCAGGCCCTTCAGTCCTGGAGGGAGGCCCCACTGTGGGGACTGAGGCTGGTGCTAGGGCCTGCTCCCCACTCCTTGCTCTCAAGGGTTTCACTTTGCCTGGCGGTCCCTGTGCCGAGGGGCCCGGGCGACACTGCGTGTGCAGTGACCGGGCGGTAGCTTCTCTGCAGTGCAGTGGCTTCTGAGGGGCCCTTCCCTGGTTGTTGAGTGTGGCCCCAGCGCAGGACCCTGGAACCGGCTCCTGTGGTGCCATCGGGATGGCCACAGCTTCTGAGAGTGGCTTTAGGCAGCCCTGTCGCTGTGGACTGAGGCTGACACAACCAGCGAAATCTGCCTGGAATTCTTACAGAAACACCTGTTGGACCACATCCTCTCCAGCTTCCATATGTAGACTAAATTCCTAACAACGGATTGTTACGTGTCTAAGTCTGGGAGAGAGAATTCTCAATTGCTGATTTACTACGCAGAGGCCCACAGTGGCCAGGACTCTCCTGGGCTGAAAACTGGGAGGGTCTCCCACGTGGGTGCAGCAGTCCAGTTACTTCAGTCAGCACCACTGCCTCCCAGGGTCTGCGTCAGCAGAGAGCCGAGCCAGAGCCGGGTATTGAACCTGGGGTCTCTTACGTGGGATGTGGGTACTTTAACCACTAGGCTTAAAAGCCTGTTCATTGAGTATAGTTTTTTTTTTTTTTAAATATTTATTTATTTGAAAGAGAAAGAGAGGTCTTTGATCCACTGGTTCACTCCCCAGATGACCACAATGGCCAGAGCTGAGCTGATCAGAAGCCAGGTCTCCTATGTGGGTGTCCACTGCTTTCCCAGGCCATAGCAGAGAGCTTGACTGGAAGCGGAGCAGCCAGGACTCTAACCAGTGTCCATATGGGATGCAGGCACTGCAGGAGGTGGCTTTAACTCACTATGCCACAGTACCGGCCCCAAGTAGAATATTTTAAACTA